AATGACCTCAGAAAAACAAGTCTATGGGATTCAGATCTGGTAACCTAGAAGGCCCATGTGTGTGTCTTCCAATCCACTTTTTTAGAAATTCGTCATTCAGGAAATTTCTTGCAGTGGAGCAATTGGAACCAATAATTTAATCTTTCTGCTAATGGAATTTCATCGAGCAATGATAGTGGTAAATTTATATCTAATAACAAGATACAATGTTGAATTAAGTCTGTTAGGTGGAATGTGTGGACCAATTACATTATTGTTTAATAATCTAGCCCAAATGTTTATTAACTACCATGTTTAATGATATTATTTGTGTTTTAAATGAGGGTTTTCATCCGTCATATCATCAGTAGATATGCATTGATCAGTACATTGAATATTTTCAACAACCATCTATCAAAATTAATTCGTAATAATAATATAATTGGTCCAAATATTCTACCTAATCTTAATTCAGTCTTGCGTCTTTAATTTTTAAATTTAATTTCCTGAGAGGTGGATTGGAAGAGGTTTACCCATACTATGGCCTACTAGATCACCGGATCTGAATCCTATGACTTGTTTTTCTACGCTACGTTTTTCTGACCACGCTAATAGACGAAAATGAGTTACAGAAAGTTTACATTTCGATGACAACATTTTGTTTTGTAATAACATTCGTTTTAGGGGACGCAAATAGAAAAATTCAATCCTCTTCATTCTGATTTGTTTTGTCCCTCTGCATCGAGTCCTGCAATCTAATGTAACCGTTGCCTTAGTCACCTTTCTAATAGGAAAATATTCAGCGCAAAATAAAAAAATAATTTGATACGATACAGAAAAGGAAGAATAGAAGAGGGTAATGTTTAAGTTATCCAAAACAAAATAATTTTCCTGACAAAAATAAAGTCATTGTATTCTGCTATAAACAAAGAATTATTTTCTCGTGTTTCAATGGGCAACTAGCATATATTTTTATAAGTCTTGCAATAATAGATATATAATTTTATGTAGTGAAAATATTAGAAATCTCTTAGAGGCTGTTAATTAATAATTAATTATGGATTGATGCCCTAAATAAACGTTTTTAATTAGTGTTTGCTGTTGCGCTAATTAATGACGTCATTTAGTGCGACTGATAATACAGAATATGAATAATGGATACAAGCTACCTCAAGAACATGAGCATAGTCAGTAACAACAGTCTAGAAACAGCCAAATTCATTTTGTTTCGAAGCTTTGCGTTTCTTTAAATTAGCTCGCCCTATTGACATCGCAGGTCAGTTCTAAAAAAAAATTAAATACTCATGTAAGTTGCCCATAATAACAACGCCAATACATTTTTAAGGAAATTATAATACTCTAAGTTTAAATAAGTACATTATAGTAAGATTTATAATTTTTATTGTAACAAAATATATAAATACAGTATTAATGATATTCTTATTTACAAAATCGTTGTAGAAAGAAAAAAAAACCGTGCGTTCAACTAAAAATACTTCAGATAGATACTTATAATTCGTGCAAGCGATTATCAAAATACAACCGAAAATTAGAGACAATTCTATAAATAGGTAACAAGTCAAAGAAATTATAATTAATATTTTTTCGCAGTCATGGGCGCCTCTGAACTTTGACATATCTAGGAAACCCTTTCTTTTGACTGGTCGCATTAGGGAGATGATTATGAATTTTCCTCGATATGACGGTGTTTCCTGAGGTATACAAAACCGCAGTGCATTTAGTTTTGTTTTCATTCATACACCTCCACCTAGTCCTATTTAGGTTCTTTTTGTGTACGTTGTACTCGAAATTGTCTACCATTATCCTGGGATGCTTTCGACCAGGTAAAACGTAGATAATATCTGAAAATTATATATTATTCTCTTTCAAATCTATTGTAAAAGTTAAATGGAATACCTAGAGTATATTATAGGGAAAATGCAGGTTTATTTTGTCAATGTTTTTATGACGTTAGAAACAAGAAAAATAATTCGAATGTTTACATTATTTAAATATACAGGGTGTTTCTTAATAACGTGCTAATATTTAAGGAGGTTATTCTGGGGTCAATTTTAAGAAAAAAAACTTCGTATGAACATATGTCCTAAAAGTCTTAACTTTTGAATTACAGGGTGCTAAAGTTTTATGAAAAAACAGTTTTTATGATTAAGTTTGGTATTACGTACCCTAGATATTTTTTCAAATTTAGTACACGCCTTCTATTCATCGAGATGCATTTTCTGAAGTACAAACAATTTTGTTATTTTTGCCAGTGGCGTCTGTACAGGTTTTGTATTGAATATTTTTGAAGAAAAATATGTTACACCACTGCTTTTTCTTAAAGTAAAAATCATTTATAATATCCTCATTCCTTTCTGAGCAAATGTGGTATCTTCAATTTTTTTCGTTTGACATACAGTTTTCGCATAAAAAATAAAATTCATTCATTTGCATCTTATTGGACCACTTACGAGAAAAAAAAAGATTTATGTAACTTTAAACAATAATTTATTTAAGATAATAACTTTTAAATGTTAAAATTATGAAATTCCAGTAATTTACATACATTTTGGAATGGTAAAAGAAAATTACCTTGGCGTAACATATTTGTCTTCAAAAATATTCAATAGAAAACCTGTACAGACGCCACTGGCAAAAATAATAAAATTGTTTGTAGATCAGAAAATGCATTTCGATGAATAGAAGGCGTGTACCAAATTTGAAAAAATATCTAGGGTAATACCAGTTATCATAAAAAAATGTTTTTTCATAAAACTTTAGCACCCTGTAGTTCAAAAGTTAAGACTTTTAGGCCATATGTTCATATGAAGTTTTTTCTCAAAATGGACCCGAGAATAACCTCCTTAAATATTAGCACGTTATTAAGAAACACCCTATAAGGTACATACATTATTTTTATCTATCAGATAGTTATTGATTGATATGGGTGAGATACAACACGATTACTAGATATTGTCAGTGTACTTCAATGCTGGATCAGGCTTTAGGTTGCATAGTAGTTTCCTACAATTTCGTTAGTTATTAATTAATTGCAAATTTTTAGACTTTAGACAAAAATTTATCAATAAAAAAATTCGTTTATTGCATTTAGCACATATTTCTTTACTAGAAAAAATAGACGTGTTACAAATATTTTAAATTTATCGTTTGCTTAAACCTGCGACAGAAGCCTTGTAAAATGAATAAATGTTATTAGTTGGCGTTTTGAATTTAGTTGTTCGGATTTTCTGATAAATTTTAAACTTTACTTTTTGAAATAATTTCTAATCAGTTTAAAACATTAGATATTGTTACAGCTTTAGTTTTTTTCTTTTATGTTTCAGATAAAACATAAATGATATTGTAGGAAACAACTACCTTGTGGACTAATTACCCGACAATATCTAGGAAACAGATGCAGTAGCGATCAGATAGCGATCAATTTTATTTTGATCGGTGTTATGCTGAACGGCATTTTTGTTTAACATGTTTTTTAATCGTTATTCGTACTTTAAGTTGACTTGTTTGATGATATTATTGACATTTTTTCCACTTGTGCTTTTAAATGGAACACAAAGAGATACCTAAATGTTTTGTTCAATAAATTTTAAAACACATTATATGACTTTTACCATAAATACTACGAAACATAACTCTAATTAGTATCCATTTCTGATAAATTTTTTATTTTATCTGATAATGACGGCGTTTTTTACACTCAAAAGTAATAGGTACTGAGTCATTACTTAGTAGGGGAATATAGGTGGAATAATATTTGAAAGAGGAAATGGTCGACTAGATATGATATGAAACTACAGTGTACTTTTACTAAGAATGCTAAAGCTTCCTTTTTTTGTTTACTTTCTGTTCTTTAGTACTAATAGAAGTAATACATAAACTTAACTTTTTATCTATTTTGTAGATTATTATAATAAGTATACTTCTAGTCCAGTAACAAACTTATAACTTTTTTAATATATTGTCTCTGTTACACTTTTAGAGCTATACTTACCTAATTCAGTATAACAAAGGTAGGTAACAATAATTAACTTATTTTCTTCACATGCGACTGTTTAATACTTATTGCTTTATGTTTATTAATATTTACATATTTTAAACGTTTTTTATGTATATACCATTATCTATATACTGAATTATATTCAGGTGTATTCCCAATCAATTAACGTTAAAATTAACTTACCGTTTATATTGTAATTTTTAACGCCTTGTTAAAATATAATCTAAAACTGCTATTCAGGAAAAATATTTTAAACGGATTGTATAAAGCATTAAAAACAAACGGTTCCGTTTATTGCGGTGAGTAGAAATTCGTACTATTGGGAATTTGATTATTAAATCTAATAATCTGCAGGTGAAGCCAGTGGCAGAACATAACCACAAATTACCTAATACATAAATATATAACAAATATCAAAATATCAAGTGTTTTATGTAAATTGGCAATTTATAAAAATTTACTACTGATAAAGCACTGATGTTGAGCTGAGTACATAATTGATTACTTCTTAAAAAAATAAAAACAAACAAACATTTAAACGAAGGGAGTAGTTTTTAGAACTCATTATTTTCCTCTACTTTCATAACATTCTTTTCTATTCCAAAAAATATATCTCTATTTTGTTTTCCTAAAAAATAAATGTCATTTTTTTCAAGAAATTTAAATTTCGACCCTGAGTAACTGAAATATTATTGCTCCTACATCAAAAAAGGATACAATTTTCAAGAAAAAATTAAAAATATCACATCAGTTACGTTGAACATTAACCACTCGCTCAAAAATTTTTCAGGAAATAAAAAGAGTTCAATCTGTCTTTTATGGATTTGTGTATAAAAAATTCCCAGCAACGTATTTTTTATGACTATGTTTGGAATAAATGATTCATTGAATATAATTTAATAGTTATGTTAGTTCATCAATAAAATGATACTATATTAACAAATTGTTAGAGGCAGTTTAGAATATTAAAACACAAAACTACAATAATTATAATTAAGAGCAATAGATATATTTTTTATCCGCCGAATTTTCCATAAACTTCAATACAGAAAATGTGTGTATACAATATCACTTCAAACAAATTCCCAGATTATCTGTCACATTAACTATTTTGCAATGAAGGCCTTTTTCACATTCATAAGTAAAAGGTACTGATCCACCAATAAATATGGGAGTACAACGTTCTCCTTCACCTAAAATTAAAGGAAATTAGTCATATCTGAATAATTTCTTATTATTTGTAACTAAATTATCAAGAAATTATATCAAAGTAATAAAGTTTTCCGTCTAACATATTACGTTTATTATTTGTTTTTTAAATACAGATACTTACCCAATTCAGTAAAACAAAGGTCACAACAATTACAATAAGCTTTCGGTTTTAAAACTTGACCTTCAGTGCACACAGCTGGTTTGCAAGTTATTTTACAGCAAGGTTCACAAGGGATGCGTGATTCTACGATACCCCATTCAAAATATAAAATTATGGCAAAGGTGAGAATGCTACGAAGCTCCATGTTGCTGAAATGCCAGCGACTAAGTATGTCAGGGAAATGCTGATATGTTTATATTTATGTATTTTATCTACAATGTATGAGTTTTAAAATTCCATTTTGATAATTTAAATAAAAAATTATATCGGAAAATAAATATCACAGAAAATATATCTATCCTCGACATTAATTGATGTGTTTATTAAATTAGAACTTAGCAATCGCCGACAAAAAAGCAAAACTTAAAAATGGTAGTTCGATGACACCAAGTTCAGTCAGTTCTTAAATACTGATTACGTCAAATGATAAAATAACTAATGTATGAACGTATATCTAGTATACGGGAGAGAATTATTGTGGGGCACCTCTTTTTGAATGAAGTTCCCTGTTTTTAACTGACAATATCTCGGGAATCAACTACTCTGCGGAATATATCCACCGACCAGCTGGTTCACTAACATGTCACTGTACTAATAAATAATATTCGCTTTCATTTAATATTTGTGGTAAGCCCCTATAAGCTCATTTCTTTATATTCCGGGTCGCAGATTAGTGGAAAATTCATTTTATTTTTTTAAACATTGGAGATGTTCAAGAGTTTTTGATAAATGCAGTGGAAATATGTAGAATCTAGGGAGCTATAGGGAGATATAAACTTTCAAAATGTAGCAAATCTTCGGTCGCTACTGCTGGGTGCAGGAGTGGTTCGATCGTAGTTTGGTGTCGTTGTGCGGGTTGGACCTCTCTGCGTTCAATAAGGATATAAACGATGAACCTCTACATTTTAGTTATATTTATAAGACTTTATGGATGTTTAAGTGTGCTATAAGTGAAAACTAAATGTTCTAAGGTCATAGAGTAGGTAACAGTGACTCAGTAGTACGGTGTTGGAGTGGTTATAACTTTTTTAGCGGTTTTCAAAGTTGCTAGGGTAGGTGGTGGAAATTATACAGAGCGGTATCTTTTAATGTTTATTGGGAAGCTACTTATTTACTCTTTATACATAATATTAATAAAGTACATGTTATTTAAGGGTTTTGTGCACAATATATTGAGAAATTCCAACATTGCGCAATATTTCGTGTATTTCTGCAACAAGGTGTAAAACTTATTCCTCCACGCAATCAACTTCTCGCCGACGTCCACGAAATCTAGGAAGCACACATATCCTATTCAAAAGCCTTTACAAATACGTCCAGCCTTTTTCAAATTTTGGTTGTACTTCTTCGTAAATTATTAGAATATTGTGATATTCGTGTATAGAATACATTTTTAGAAATTGAATGATTTGAACATATGAGCTGATACTTGCTTACAAAAATTAAAACACTTTTCTGTAACGAGCTCTTGATAAAAATTTAGGTATACTAAATAAAATGTTATTAGTCTTTGACCTAGCGTTGTCATTTGTTATTCCATGGATTAATTTTAATTTAAATACATCATTTTTTTTATACAATGAGACATAATTAATTTGCAATCGAATAAATAAAAATTTTGCTCAAATATGTGTACCGTAAATTTGAATAAATATCATAATTTTGGGCTTTGGTTATTAAAAGGTCACAGCATGATTTTTCTCGAAAATGCGAGAATGACTTAAATTTACAAAAGGTGTTTCGCCAACAGTAAACTGTTAACTATAACGGAATAAATAATATTTAGAAATATATTTTTTAATTCTTTAAAATTTTCAGTATACACATCCAATTTCTGACAAGTGATTCTATCACCAACTTCGATGCAATGAAGATATTTTTTACATTCAACAGTAAAAGGTGCACCACCAACAATAAAGGGCGCACACTTTTGTCCTTCATCTGAAATTAACTCAAACTAAATAATATTTTTTTAATTATGTAAAGATAACTCTACCTATTAATCAAATATGAAACCTATCATTTACAAGTGAATCTCGAATTAAAAATTGTGTTATGGCATAATGTAATTATTTTTTAGTCATGTTTTGAATAACTGTAGCTTTTTAAATTGCATTGGAAACATATTTTAACTGAAACAATACATAGCTGGATATATATTAAATATTAAATGAGCTGTAATTTATACTTATCCACTATGGTAAAACAAAGATCACAACAGTTACAATATGCTCTTGGTTTTAGAAGTTCATAGTCGGTACAGGCAACGGATTTACAAGGTAGTATACTGCAAGGCTTAGGACATTGGACTAGAGGTTCTACAAGACCACATTCCAACTACAAGATTGTAGCAAAAATAGTAGTTTGCGACTGCATATTGCTTAATTACTGTCTATTTGATCAGTAATATAATAATAGGTATCTGGCTAATTCTCTTCTTATGAATAATTAGTTTGTCGAATACAAAGTGAACATTGAAAAATTCAAATAAGAAGAGCGGTTTGTTAGTATTTGGCAAGGAATTTTTTCCAATTAAAAAAAGCTCAGTATGCAATATATTATACAGGTACAGTAAGAAAGCAGCAGATATAGTATCAGTTTGGCAAAAGATGATAATCTAACACCATTAAATTTTATTAATTGGGTACACACACCTTGTAACAGTGTCAAATTCAAACACGGGGAAACCCAACTGTGATACTTGCGTATCTAAAAATAATAATCAAACTACAGTTGTAATTAACAAATATTATTATAAAGCATTAGACAGGTATTATATTTTATAGGGGACTTTTTAAATACTGAGAAATTCACATAATTCAATTCAACTACTGATTACTGAACGATATTTCTTTTAATATATAGGTATATGTACCTAGTTTTTTCCCAGTAGTACAATTCTTTTTTATAAAATATTATTACTAAATATAGAATTAAAAAAAAACGACCGTCAAAGTGGTGACAACCAATCTCAAACAATTTAGGCACAAGGCACAAGGACCACCCAGCAAATCATTTAGCATGTTACTTAAAAGGTTCGACCATCTAACCAATTTAGTATCATGTAAGGTACAATGAAGTATTCGCTTATTATTCCTGCTTATTATCATTAAGATAATTTATTTGATATAAGACGGTTCTTGAAATGATCCACATAAATCCTACGACCCTTAGAAGAGTTCCCATGGGCTTCATCGTAAGTTAACATCATATCAGCGTATTCATCACCGTTAGTAAACGATGCACAATCACAATTGTTAATACCTCGTCGTACTTCCTGTACCTGACAGTTTAGAAAATAAACTTTAAGATAGGAATCATTGCATCAAACATCCACAATGAGTAAAAAATACTAGGCAAACACGCAAAAAAAATTAGATAAAAGATGTTGCTTTTGATGAGTTAGATACGTGGTTAAAATTTTGGCAATTACTTCTTTGACTGATTGTATTTTAAGTACTCTTCTGACCAAAGGCATACATAGTTTTTTTGTGTATATTTTACTATCCTGACACGTGCATGTATCCTTTTAGTTATGTAGTACAAGTACAGAAGTAGAGTTAAATTGGATATGTTGACAAAAAAATAAATGGTGCGACTGTAAACAGATATTACCTCACTGACCAAGCCCAACAATACAAACATTATCGTTGTGTCATTTATGATTGTCAGAAGACACAATTCACTAAATTTATTTCTTAATTGTTCAAAAATATTCAAACTTGGTACAACGCAATTCAGTCATAGTCGACACTTACGGCAAAATCTGAACAAAATCTAGAGAGTGGCATCTGAATTAGGAGAAATTAGAGGAATCAGCTGTCAAAAAGTTTGGTGTAGGACAGAATATTCATTTACAGACCGTTAAAAAAAAATCAGTTTTTAAATATTTCAATATCATATTCTTACTGTTGTAGAAATGTAGAAAATGCTAATGTTGCAGATAAATATTTTATTTCGTAAACATCTCAAAAACATGTATTTTTAAATATTGATTGCTTATTTTTCATTTCTGGCAAGTTTTCGTGTCACCGTAATCTTTGCACTGAAGACCTTTTCTACATTCAGCTTTAAAAGGAACCCCACGTATGGGAATGGAAAACACACAAAGTTCTCCTTCATCTAAAAAATATAATAAGTACAGTTTATACAATAAATATACAATTTAAAATATTTATAAACTAATATATCATTAATGTAATTCCATGTCATGACAATATTAAATATAAAACGCCACATTCTTGAAGTACATTCTACAGGGTGATTTCACCTTAAATACAGAAACTGGTGGTTACCAAAAATAAGTAGTTTGTTCTATAAACTTTTTTTTCCTGCGCGACTCGGTATTCGAGATACAGACCTTTTATTAAATGTGATTAATTCACCTTGTGGCTTTAACCAGTGGCATGCTACTAGAGGTGCCGCCCCATTTTCCCAAAAAAAAAATACGCCACTGTCGGTTGCTTGTAGAAATATTGTTACGTTAAATAAATGAAAAATGTTTGTTGTTTTTCAATAGTGCGGTCATTTAGAAGATATTTGGGCTTGTTTTTAATTAGTTCATTTGATAAAAACCTTCTGGTTTTAACTAGTGACTGCTACTAAAGCGTCTGCCAACTTTTTCCAGAAAAGTATAAGCCACTGGCGGTTTTTTGTAGAAATAATTTTATTTCTGGAAAAAATATCAAATTAAATAATAAAATAACATATGTCGGATAAGTAATTAAGTAACGAGTTCTACAACAATTGTTCAAAACAAAATCCTTCCGCATGGATGGACTTTAGACATCTTCTAATCAGGCTATTTACAGAGGAACTTATTATGGCATGATTTCCCCTGACGAGATTACAATTTTCCTCTATTCTTTGCCACAATTAGTTCCGTGTTCATAAGCCCAAGAGGACTGCAGCTTCAGGAATAAATAAACAAAGTTAGTTACAATACTAAATTGAGATTATTGTAAAGCTTACTAACTGATAATGCAGATAAAAGAATCAATTTGCAGATGGATTTTAAACAAATATGAGTCTGTGGACTAAATTTAGGCATATGGTCGCCAAATAAGTAAATTATCTCCTAAACGGCTGCTACTAATAAAAAACACCAAAAACACTGTTTATGTATTTACTGTAACAGTACTTGAATTTAACATTATTTCTGCAAAAAAACACCATTGG